AGCTCTACAGTGAAATGACAGATGGCAGGTTTCTTTTGCCTGGCAGAAATTGGAAAATACTGGTGTAATGTTTTCTTTGCTTACATTGGATGTGTGCAGTGAAACTGGTTTATTTTTGGTCATTTCCTGTCTATGAACACTGGTATTTTAGCCAACACTACTATAATAAAATATAATGCATAAAATGAATTTCCACACCTATGAATGTTGTAATAGAAATTCATAAAATAAGTTATTATAGGAATCAGCACCACTTATTCACTAGGAAAAGAATCTTCCGAAAGATTTTAAGTATTTCTTTTCTAGCCTGTTATAAAAAGCCTAAAGGTTAAAAAAAATACTAAACCTCTGAAATGCTGTCTTTTTTTCCATCTAGACATTTAGTAGTATGTTTTACATTTAGCTTGCCTTTTGGGAACTCATTACTTTATTGCTTTAAGTTAAGCATCCTGTCTTTTCTTAGGGTCACCCACTAATTGAGAAGGAATACAGTATTTTTCTAATTCATTCTTATATAAAGATCAAGTCAAATAGATGAACATTTGGACTTGAAATTAACCACTAAAAATCTTGAAGATTATTCCTATTTGATGTCTCACTGTCCGCTATATTTTACATATGAAGAAACTGAAACTCAATGAAATTGAAAAGCCTAACCATCAAATCATCTAAAATTTGAATGAAGGCCTGATTTTTTTGCCAGTGCCATTTCTACTACACTGTATCATTTTTTTTCTGTTATACTCTTATAAGGACTAGTTGACACTATTGCACTTGTATTCTTACAGTGCAGTAGTGTCAACTAGCTTCTCTCTGCTCTATCAGCCACACAGTTGATCAACTTATCTATCTGAAGTGGATCCTTGAAGGTCCATTTCATCTTATTTCCTTCGTCTTTGTATTCCCAGCACCAGTACTTAGATCCATGCATGGTGCTTTGAAGTTGCTTAAAAACATGCATTGAAAGGTCTTATTACATTTTTATTTTAAAACATTTTCTGTTCCTGAACCCTACAAGATAAAATCAGACTTTTCAACTTTATCTCCAGCTACTACTCGCCTGTATATTTCAGTATTCTAGTCCCGTGTTTCAGTGTTCCAGCCATACTTAAATTGTGCTTACATGAATATGTTACATATAATCAGACTTCTATGTCTTTCTTCATTATGCCCCTCTCCTCCTACTTCTGATGAAATTCTACTATTCATCACTCAAGAATCAGTTTAAATGCTACTTCCTTTTGAAACCTGATTTCTCCCCTCTAGAAGAATTAGTCATTTCTTACTGTATTTCTATAGCATATGGTTTAAATATTCATTATATGACAATAAGCACATTATATTACACATAATATATATATTTCTCTTCCTTTTCATCCCCCATCCAGAATGGGAGCTCCTTGAGAGCAAATATATCTTGATTTATTTTTAAATCTCCAGGGCCTAGCACAATATCTGACACATAATAAGCTCTCCACAAAAACCTATTGATTTAATGAAATGTTGAGGTCATTTCAATTGAGAAATTATGTCTCCTGTGCTTATTGGGTTGATTGCAGGGTAGGATTAGGGAATTTATATTTCTGTAACCACAGCCCAATAAAAGTGAGCAGTAAGTTTAATATATCCAAAAATTTGCACATGATCTCTATACTGATTGCCCTTATCAATAGACATAATTTAGTGGCCTATGCCAGAATTCTTAGCACAATGTCTTGTATATAGTGAACATCTTCAGATGTTCAATAAATTAATGAGTGAATGAATTAATGAATTAATATATACATATCTATGACTAAAAAGATATCTACTGTACATACAAGGAAAACTGGATGGACAACCTCCAACATAAAAACATTGTTTAAAAACTCACTAAGTTTTATTTGTTTGTTTGTTTAGTTTTGTTTCTATGCTGGGGATTGAACCCAGCATGCTAGACATCTCGTATGATAGACACACAGTGTCCTCTACTTCTGAGCTACATCCCCAATCGTCTAAGTCTTTTCTAGGGAAGTCAGGACATATCTCCCAAGAGGAGCAAATTTATTAATATTGGCCAGGGTTTGAGGCTAAAGTCAAAGACTTCACACAGAAAATAACTGAAATGGGTTAACAGATGCTACATGTCCTATTGAAAAGGATGATTTAGTCTGTAGCCCAGCAAATTTATATTTGTTTTTGCCAAATATCCATGTGAGATCTATATAAGTTGGAGAAAACTTTCTTCTGCTTTTATTACCATATTACTGTTTTGATGATTGTAGACAATTTTTATTTCACTTCTTTCTCAGCAGTTTCTTTGGTCATTGTTTACACAAAATAACTAATCCCTTTCTAATGATAGACTTTTTATTTTGGAGTCTCTTTTTAAAAATTTTACTCACACAAAGAAAATAAAGACATTTTCAAATATATAAGACATCATTTCCCAAAGGATTTATTCATATTTTTTATATAACTCTAGTGACCCATCATTTTCCCATTAAAACTAAACTTCTTTTGCTGGTTAAGCTTCTTTTTCTGTGGTCATAAGGCATCCCTATGCCAATTAGTTTTTTCTCCCCCTTCACCTTCTTTCTTCATTATATATCTTTGCCAAACCTGAGACAACCTACTTGCTAATAATACCCTTTTTCTGTGCCTATATCACTGATTTTACCCCATTCGTGAAACCATAGCTATGGTAGGAACATCCTTCTTAAAATTCAATAGATTCTTATAAAGTTTTTCTCACTTTATTAATTCATTATAGAAATATGTATCAAGAAAGTATGTGCTAGGAACTGTGGTTGGCTCCACCATAGCAAATGTGGCAAAATTCAAGCCTTCAAGGATCACAATGTTTAGTAAGAGAAATAGACAAGTCAACAGATAATTGCAATGCAGTGCAGTAAGTGCTACAGAAGAGTATGCACTCTTCATCAAGTCTTCTTTATTTTAGTGGCAGTGAAATGCTCAAACTGACATCTTTTGTCCTATTCCAGTAATGCTTATATGCTCTACCTAGCTCCAAGTATTGCCCAAAGTACAAAAAAATGGAACTGATCCTTGTCTTATTTTTGTGCTATCAGCCTTTACCTTTCTAAGACTATCATCTGAGACTGTTCATATACTAGTGCTCATTGAATATTTGGATATTGTCTCTCTTCAGCCTTAAATCTGGTAGAAATTAAGCCTTTTCATATTTTCTTGATTGCATATTCACTTAGAATATACTGACATTACTACTTTGGTTGTTACTGAATAAACAACATGAAAAAGGTTAAGTAGTACTGTCAAAATAAGTATGATAAACCAATAGAGTAATAATGGTTTGTCAGTCTTATTTCCCAACATGAGCATTATAAAAATGTTGAGGATCTTTAATAATACATTAATATACTATAAATTATGTAAAGCCCATTACTAAGCTTCAGAGCCACCAAAGTTAAAAATATTTATATATGGTCTTTAGCTTCAATGAATTCATTCTGTAAGAAGAGGCAAAATTGTAAATATATATACAGTGTGAGAATTGACATTGGAAGAGTGTGCAAATGTGCACAGCAGCACAAAGGAAAACAACACACAGGCTAGTAAATAGTGCCTGAAAGCGAAAATGACAGAGTGAAAACACATACAACAAAAGCCAAGCAGTAAGCTGGTTGCAGTGGCACATGCCTGTAATCCCAGTGGCTGGGGAGGCTGAGGCAGGAGGATTGAGAGTTCAAAGCCAGCCTTAGCAAAAGCGAGGTAGTAAGCAACCCTGTCTTTAAATAAAATACAAAATAGGGCTGGGGATGTGGCTCAGTGGTTGAGTGCCCCTGAGTTCAATCCCTGGTATCTACCACCCCACAAAAAAAGCCAAGCAGTGTTTAAATTTTGAGGTTGAGTAAATACTTACATCTCTTTTTTTTTTAATCACTTTTATTTTTTAAATACATGACAGCAGAATGCATCACAATTCTTATTACACATATAGGACACAGTTTTTCATATCTCTGTATATAAAGTATGTTCACACCAATTCGTGTCTTCATACATGTACTTTGGATAATGATGTCCATCACATTCCATCATCGTTTACATCTCTATTCACAAAATTTTGAGTTGGATCAAGGTATTTTACTTATTCCTTAGCTATTATCATTTAGGTAGCCTTTTATAGATAATATAGCTTCTAATTTGGAAATACTAACAATTACCATGTTCAGTAAAGTATATGAAGAGATTTTGTGAATATATAATATTAATAATGGATTGCTTTCATTATTTTTTATTTCAAACTGGGGAGGAAATCTTCAAAAACTTTAATAATTATATTTTGTATACACTTATGGAATTTCAAAACACATGAGGAATTCAAAAATACAAAGTCAAAGATACTACTTAATCTAGCATATAAGAAGTAAACTAATAGCTATTATGTTTTCCAACATGTTTATGTATTATGTAATTTTTACTATAAAAATATTATTTTGTAAAAGACATTTTTTTCTACCCTGATAGTTTCATAGATTAGAAAAACCTGTTTGTATTGACATGAAAAAAAGATTCATGACATATTAAAGATATATTAAATGCACCAGGTGTGGTGGTACAGGCCTGTAATCCCAGCTGTGCGGGAGGCTGAGGCAGGAGAATCATCAAGTTCAAGGCCAACCTGGGCAATTTAGCAAGGTCTTTTCTCAAAATAGAAAAACAAAAAAAATCTGGTGATATAGCTGACTGGTAGAGTACTCTGAGTTCAATCCTCACAATCACGTGTATACATACACAAAAATATAATAAATGATTCTTTCATTAATATAACTAATTTGGGTTTGTTCATAATATTTCTATTTTAATTAAAATATATGATTAGAATAATATAAATCTTCCACATAGTCTATTGAAAATTAATTACAGAATTGAAAAAAATGAGTATAATATCAAAGGAGCTTTTCCAATGTGGCTTTGTATTCTTTTATTTGGTTTGCACGATACAACTTTCACTTAAAATTATGCTTTGGTTTTTCCAGGTCTCTAGATTCAGGACTCAACAATGCTTTATTAGGTTTATCTGTCACAGACACATACCTTGTTGAAGTAGATGGGGATACACTTTCCCTGTATGGTTCAGGAGCACTAGAATCTCTGGATCGAAATTGGAGTGTCCAAACAGCAGGAATGGTCACGACAGTCTCCTTCACATTCATAGAGTTTGACGAAATTGTCCAAGTGCTCCCCAAATTGAAGATGAAGTTTCCTAATTCTCTGGTAAACATTTCCCTTTGGTAATATCTTTCAATTATTCTTAATCATGACTTGTATGTTCAAGCCAAAGGTCTGTTTTAACTTTTATTTATGCAGGAAGGGAGACTAAGCTTTTGTGTTGATTTTCTGGTGCTGGGATTTAAATTAGTAGTCATAAATGATCTTGTATTAGAGATTTCTTCTCTGAAAATGAGCCTTTATGTAGTATGAAAGATCAACAATTTTATTCAAATTATATTTCTATTTTATAAAGCATTCAATAGAATTGCATAGCCCTACTATGTATCCAGGTATTGTATCTGGCACTGATGAGACAATACTAGGTATGTATTATGTAAATTATACAGTAATTTATATTTACAATAGTCCTCTAAAAACACTGAAAACAAATTTAGTAGCATATTAAAGTTGCTTTGAGAAATTAGACTCCCCAATTATGGTGTTATTATATTATTTATTATTAAGCATTTTCAGAACCTGTAATTTTTATAATGAGTTTTCTCTTGAGTTTTTATGATTATTGTTTTTCTCTCTTTGCTGATTGATTTTCCTCACTTGCCCTTTTGTACCTTACTTCCTCCTTCTTAAATAAGATAGGTAGAGGTGCAGACAGTATGTTAGAAAAGAGCCTCCGAATTCACAAAACACTTGCATTAATATTTCAGTTGTAGAGATTTGATTTTTCTATAACCAACTTAACCAGCATACACAGTATTTGGAAAGATACAAGTAATAGTGATTAAAACTAATTCTTAGAAGTTTTGTAAACCATATAAAGTTCTGAATTTTTTCTTTCCAATTTTTCTTTTGTTTAATTTCAATATAAAATGTATAATGTAACATCTGAAAGAGTCCAAATTATTTCATGTTTATATAACTATTAAGAATTCTAGTTTGTTAATAAATGAGGATATCCTTTGCAGAAGGAATCACCAGAATTAAATACTGGATGAATTCCATCAATGATGTAATAGTGGGATTAAAGTTATGTAATCCAGTTGATTTAATGTAATTGAAGACATATTTGCTAAGCCTGAAGCTTGTGGATTTAGTTAGGAAATGATCAGTGAAGCTTTAATGTTCAGTGAAGCTTTAATGTTAATATTTTAAGATGGTTAAACTCAATATTCAGATTTTTTGTGTGTGTTTTATTATTACAGCACCTTAAATTTAAGGAAACAAATCTTATAATGCTGCAGCAATTTAATGCACTAGCCCAACTTCGCCGTATTGACCAGTTGACAATTGATCCTCAAGGAAATCCAGTTGTCAATTTTACACTATGGAAATACTATGTACTATTTAGGCTAAGCCATTTTAGTATGCAGAAAATAAATGGAACAGAGGTAAGTAAAGGACTTTGCAAACTGCAGAATAAAAATGTTCCCTTTGGGGAAAATAATGATTAAAAATGGTTAAGAATCTAGGTAATCATGATAGAACTTTTGAAAAATATATTGTTTTAATTTTTACATTTGAAATGTCAGAAATCTAAAACTCTACCCTAAAATTCTAAAGCACTAGACAAAATTTTAAAATAAAATAGTAATAAGTTCATGGTGAATAGTAATATGCACTTTCTTGATATTTTTTTTAGTTTTAGTTGGACACAATACCTTTATTTTATTCATTTTATTTTTATGTGGTGCTGAGGATCAAACCCAGCACCTCGCATGTGCCAGGTGAGTGCTCTACCTCTGAACTATAACACCAGCCCCATATTATGCACTTTTACTGTTGTTAGTAAATACTCAGATAAAAAGTTGGTAGGAGTGTTTTTGGTTTGTTTGTTTGTTTCTTATGTTTTGTTTTGTTTTGGTAGCAGAGATTGAACCCAGGGGCACTTAACCACTGAGCCACATTCCTAGCCCTCTCTATATATATTTATATATGTGTATATATTTGTATATATTATATATGTGTATGTTATTTAGAGACAGGGTCTCACTGAGTTGCTTAGAGATCTTGTAAGGACTAACAGTTTTAAACAAAAAAAATTGTAAATCTTCAACAGGTAATGTGGTCTTTGTATTTTTCAAAGTGCTTTTCACACTGCCTGGTATGCAAGAAGGAATGAGGAAGTGAAACTTAAATGTCAGATAATAAGGTAGAGGAAGGGAAGAATAAAATGGGGACAGGGGGAGAGAATAACTGTATGAATGTGAGAGGAGAAAATAAAGTGTAAGCAACCATCTGGACTGCTTTGTTGATAGTTGTATCATAACTATATTGGATAACTCAGACCTGAATCTGAATAGCTGGAAAATTATTAATGAAAAATTATTTTTAGATTAATTCTGCTGTCACGGGTAATCTCCTAGCTACTCAATGACCGTGTTCTCTTTAATTATTAATTTGGAAGAAAAAAGAAGCTATCCCTCTGGTCTACTGAGTTTAAATAATTATTCAAAAGAACTAAGAGTCTTTCATATGTGTTGGTCTTATTAGAATACCTCTCATGATTCAGAAAACTTCCTTACTATAAAATGAACTGTAGTCAACTTTGCTGGCACAATAACTATATTTCCCTACAACTGATAGACTACAGCTATGTCCAGCCTAGACTCCAAAAATCTAGCATACTATTAGGAGAATAGAGATCTCTCTGTTGATGTAAAAGCAACCATATGAAATCTACGTCAACCATGGTAGGTCCATGACCACAGTATCAGCCATCTATAGAAGATGTCAGGCAAATCTGGAATCTTCACGTGACCTTTCTTCAGCCAGTTCTCAAGAGATTTTGTTCAGTCTTGTGTATGCTTCTGGACCTTTCATTACTTCCCCAAAGAGAACTTATGAGTCCCTGGTGGGCCCTGGTAAATAGTCCCAAAGGTTTCAGAAATTAGTCTGAACTGAAAATAGAATGGTTATTTAGTTATTGGTAGGCAATTCTCCCTCACTAATGGCCAAACTGTTACCCCAAGTAACCCTTCATAGGCATTTGCTCAGATATGGATCATTACTAGAGGAATAATCATTCTTATGAAGTTTTTAAATTAAACGGGATAGTATAATTATATAAAGTAGAGAAGAATTTCTAGAATGGATATTGTAATTCCAGTAGCTTGGGAGGCTGAGGCAGGAGGATTGCAACTACAAAGCCAGTATCAGCAATTTAATGAGACTCGAAGCAACTTAGCAAGACTCTGTCTCAAAATTAAAAAAAAAAATTTAACAGGGGGCTGGGGATGTTAAGCTACTCAGGGTTCAATCCCTGGACCAGGAAAAAAAAAAAAAAAAACAATATAATTTACTCTGATTTAAATTTTTGAAAATGTCAGTTCCAGGAATATTTGATACTTTATTAAAACATGTAATAATATAATTCTTGATATTATATAATAATATACACAGCATTTCTACTTCTCTTTGTATAAGAGAGAATGATATTACTTGAGGTAGAATTAATTATGAGCATCAAGAAGAAAAGATGGAGTAGTGGCCTACATTGGCCACTAGGTGACTATATTGGACCAAATAACTTAGTTGTCAGCTAAAGGCAGAACTTGAGGCGCCAGGATAAGAAAGTCATTCTGTACTCATTTATGTGTATATGAACTATGGGTTTATTTTTCAGAAGATGCCTGTGTAGTATTAATTTAACAGCTAATGTTAGGACTAAATTCTTTAAAGATCCAAAATTTAACTATACCAGGGTTTCTCAAACTAAGTTTCATTGACATTTCAGGCTAGATAATTCTTTATTGTATGGACTATCCTATGTATTATAAAATGTTTAGAACCAGTCCTGGTCACTACACTCTGTAGCACCCCTCCACCAGTTCTGATAACCAAAAATGTCTCCAGGTAATGCCAAATGTTCCTTAGGGAGCACAGTGGCCACTGAATGAGACTCATGAATTATATAGTGCAAACAAACTGACACTGTTTAAAATGCAAACAACCCTATTTTATATTAAATAAAACAATAAAAATTAACTCAAGTCTTGCTTTCAGCTTTTAGTACTATCTTGGTTGACCCAGGAGTGAACCCTCACAGGATCTACTTGTGACATGCTATTCTTTTTCTGGAGAAAGGCTGATGTAAATTTTGAATGAATAGCAGCATCTTTGCTAATCCTGTGAGAATTCCATCTCTCAAAGAAGGAACCAAATTATCCTTATAGGAAGGAGCAAGCTATAAACAACAGCACAGCTTCCCCTTGACACATTATTAAAATAAATCTCTTCCATTGACACATGGGAATTTTCCCATTAAATCATTCTAATTTAGGAAGCTATAGGATTTCTGGGGAAATTTTTCATTAAGAATTTAAGACTTCTCAGGCATAATTCTGAGGAAACACGCCTTCTAATTCAGAGCTAACTTATCATCCTCCAATCAACTTCCATAAGCCCACATTTGAATATCTTCACTTTAATTAGGTTCAAGGAAAAAAGAAAAATATCAATGAAAACTCCTCTCCCTATAGTTCAGGGGAATGTGCTTTCCTGGGCTAAAAGAAAATATTTAATCTAAATATTTCTTTGGAATTATATTGTATCCAAATAAGAAACGATGTCATTTTGGACACCTCTCTATTTTTTCTCTTCAGGTGACACAGAATGATATGATAATGGCTGAAAGGCTCTTTGGAATCCTAGCACATGTAGCATCTTCTGAGTTACCTCAATACCGTATGATTTCAATTCTGGGTGATGCCAGGTAACCTTTTATTTTTACAGTTTTTATAGGTTACTGTTGTACTAGAAAGAAATTCCACATACCTCTTAACTGTTCCATTTATGCATCCTAAAAACATGTATCCTTGACTTATTTTGTGGCTGGCCTCATTCGAAGTATGGGGGATATAAAGACAAATAAGACAAAGTCCTCGTTCTTGTGTGGCTTATAGTCTAACAAGTTAAAGATACACAACAACATAAAATCTTTCAGTATAGAAGAGACTAACCATGTTTTGGAACAACATTGGGAAAACATGTAACCTTTTATCTAGTTCATAAGAAAATAACTAGGTGTTTTCAAGGTATGGCATATAGGGGAAAGAAATCTATAAAAGTACAAAGAATTGTAAATAGTTCAATGTAATTGGAGCATGGAATTATTATGCATAAGTCATAAGATATGAAGCTAGAAAAATTGACTATGATCTGAGAACCTTGCAATCCATACAAAACAAAAATGGAAAGTTATTCTTTGTAATTAAGCACAACAATCATGTTTTTAAGTTTATATCTAGAAAGACAGAGGTTGAAGGAATGGAAAACAATCAGGAGGATGGCTTATAGTTTAGCTGAGAGATTATAAAGAGCCAAACTGAGGAAGTGAGAATGGAGAAGAGGATTATGTGAAAAACATTTAGGTTTGCCTGACAGAACACTGACCTACAGGACATAATATGGTAGGGAGAAGAATAGTCAAGGATGATATATCAGCCACAATTCAATTACAGAAAATAGAAGTCACTCTGGCTAGCATATGCAGGAAACTTGATATACAGGAATTAGATATCTACAAAATATTTAGAAAAGTTGAGGAAGCAGTCTCTAGATTGGGTCTCCAAATTATTCCCAGAATGATACCATAGAAGCAGCCCACCAAGAAAGCTGCCACCTTGCTGTAATCATGGATAATAGGAGATTGTTGTTCCAGCTGAGTCCCACTATCATACCATTTTCATTCACTGTATTGGAGATTGGAAAGTTGCTTGCCCCTTCCCCAAAACCTGGCTCCAGAGCTATGTTGCCCCGCTATAATTCACATCAACAAAATGAATACCTTGTATGTTACCCCAACTTCTCCACTTAGCCCAGTTCTGAATTTAAATCTAACTTAAGTGTATCTGATTGATCTGTTTATTCCATCTTGAACCCCATAGAACCATTATGTGTGGGGGGGAACTCAGGGACTTATTGAATTTAAGAAATGATGATGTAGAAAGAAATCAGTAAAAATTATACTTGTCTAAATACTACAGTGCATAGTATTTTAAAAATTTAATAACTTGAAAATAAAAATCCCCCCAAATCCTGAGTTTCTTTCCTACAGGAGAGATAATAAATACTAATTAACAACAAAAACTAATGGAGGGGAGGCTTTCAAGAGGGCGAAATAGAGAAAGAATGTCCCTTTCCTGGTTGCTCCATGGCAAGAAACCAAGAAATCAGGCAGCTTCTCAGCAAAGTTCATGAACAAAAAAGGCTGGGGTGGGATTGCGCGGGGTGGGGGGGACGGGGGGAGGAATTCATTACTGGACACTCAAAGCAGATCAGAAACTCAAGATGTTGAATATAATAAAATAAGGAAGAAATCCTCAGTGCCTCAGCCTCTGCTACTGACAGAGGTACCAGCCAAAGCAGTCCCTCCACAAGCAAAGTGGAGGGATAAGGGAATTAAAGGAACCTGAAATTTTAGGAAGACTGAGGCTTGTCTGAGTACAAAGAGTTTAAAGATCAAAGACACTGCCCAACTAAACTGAAGGGCACTCTACGTAATGTCCTTGTAAGGGAAAGAAACTGCATGTCTCCCGGCTGTGTGTGGAAGACAGAAGAAGGAACCATTTCGCAGCTGAGTAGTGCCATGAGCTGGGGTAACCAATTCCTTGCAAACCCATAATTCTCGACTTAAGTTGAGCCTAAGTGACCAGGAGAAAATCAAAAGGTGGAGAGAGATTTACCCGGGGGACAACTAGTCATGGAAACCCACCCAGCTCTCTCCCTTCCCCTCCAAACCAGCTGCTTGCAGGACTGGCTGGGAGAGATGCACCTGGCCAGGGTTTCAAAAAGGTAGGAGGGGGACAGATTGAGGTTGGAGACCAAACCCTAGACCAGGAAATGTGGAGTCCGCAGGTGACAGAGTGGACTAAGAATTGTTTCCTCTATCACATGAATGGAACCCAGAGGAGATCCCTGGGGTGCAGTCTTCCAGCATGGACTGGCAACTGCTGGGCCCTGGAGGTACACTGATTTTAAATGTCCAGACCAATTGACACTCATCGAAGAAAGAGCCTGGAGCCTGCTTAAGCCTAAACCCCACATCTAGGAGTTCCACCGACAGGATTAACTTTCTCATTTTAGCAACCCCATCCTGAGGTTGGAGCAAGCATCATACCCCAGGTGACCCCACCGAACACTGCTGAAAAAGGAAAGCCAGGAATCTTTTGAACTCCAAAAGAAACATTTTTTTAACTTTTTGTAGAGATTCTTTTTAATTTTCATTCTTTCTTTTTCTTTTCTCTCTCTCTCTCTTCTTTATTTGTTTATTTAATTGTGACCTTAATGGTTCATGGACATTTATACATATTCATATTTTTTAATTTCTAGCATTTTTAAAGCCAGTTATTTTTCATGGGTCAGTTTTTTGAGGACTAAGATGTTTGATTAGTCTATTTCAGTTTTGTTTTCTTTTATTTTTAAAATTTTTACTTTATACTTTTGCTCTCTCATATCTGTTTCGCTTGATTCTCTCTTTTCTTCTACTAACAACCAATCTCTATTTTTCTCTCTTCACTCTTTCTTTAATTTTTTACTTCTATTTTCTGCCCTCTTCCCTGACAATTATAACATCTATCACTTCTCTTCTTTCCCTATCCACCATTCAAAATTGTAAGCCCTTTTGCAGACTTGTTTGCATTTGTGGTGGTTTATTTGTCTCCCCCTAAAAGATGAGGAAATGGAAACCTTCAAGGACACTATAAGTCTACAGGGTAGAAACTCTACTGCCTCCGATCCATACTGTTACATGGGTAGGCACACATATGTGAAAAAAGCAAGGGAACAAATCACCCCAAACAAACCAAGATAATTCAATAACAGAATCCATTGATGCCACAGTGGAAGAAATATCAGATAAAGAGTTTAGAATATACATAGAAAATACAGGAAGTGAATGATCACTTCAATAAAGAAATACAGATTCTTAAAAAAAAACCAAGCAGAAATCCTCAAAATGAAGGAATCAATAAACCAAATTGAAAATTCAATGGAGGGCTGGGATTGTGGCTCAGCGGTAGAGCGCTCACCTCGCACGTGTGAGGCCCTGGGTTCGATCCTCAGCACCACATAAAAATAAATAAACAAAATAAAGGTATTGTGTACAACTAAAAAATAAATAAATAAAAATTCAATGGAAAGCACCAACAGGCTAGACCACTTGGAAGACACAGTTTCAGGCAATGAAAAAAATAAATAGGATCTTGAAAATAGTGTTGACTATGGAGAAAATATGTTTAAGAAATCATGAACAGAACTTCTAAAAAATATGGGGTAACCTGAAATGACCAAATTTAAGATTTATTGAGATAGATGAAGGTTTAGAGATACAAATGAAAGGAATGAATCATTTTTTCAATGAAATAATATCTCAAACCTAAAGAATAATATGGAAAATCCGATACAGGATGCTTACAGAACCCCAAAGGTTCAAAATTATGACAAACCCACACCACGGCACATTGTTGTATAAATAAGGATAGAATTTTAAAGGATACCAGACAAAAATGACAGGTCACATTTAAGAGGAAACCAATCCAGATCTCAAAAGATTTTTCAACCCAGACACTAAAATTTCAAAGGTCTTGGAATACTCTATACCAAACTCTGAAAGAAAATGCATACCAACCAAGAATACTATGCCCAGCAAGATTAAGCCTCAGAATTGATGATGAAATAAAAATTTTTCATGATAAACAAAAGTTAAAAAAGAATTTACAACTAGAATGCCTGCACTACAAAACATATGCAAGAAAATATTTTATAAAGGAGAAATGAAAAATAAACGTGAAAACTGGTAAAGGGAGGAAGTACAGAAGAAAATCAAAGGAGGAACTAATTCAAATTAAAAACTAGAATAAATCAAAATGACAGGGAATGAAAATAATCTCTCAATAATAACATTGAATGTAAATGGCCTAAACTCATGAATGAAAAGACACAGACTGGCAATTGGATTAAAAAAACCAGACCCAATAATATGCCATCTCCAAGAGACTCACCTCATAGGCAAAGACATCCACAGACTAAAAGTGTAAGGATGGGAAAAAATCATGTATCATTCACATGGATCTCATAAACAAGCAGGGGTCTCTATTCTCAATCAGATAAAGTGGACTTCAAGTCAAAGTTAATCAAAAGGGACAAAAAAGGACATATCATACTGCTTAAGGAAATTATACATCAACAAGACGTAAAATAAATATTTAAGCCCCAAATAATGGAGCATCTCTGTACATCAAACAAACCCTTCTCAACTTCAGGAATCAAAGAGACCACAACATAATAATGCTGGGCGACTTTTACATATCTTTCTCATCACTGGATAGATACACCAAACAAAAAGTAAATAAAGAAGCTGTAGAACTAAAAAATGCAATTAATAATTTAGACTTAACAGACATATAAAGAATATTTTATCCACTATGACTGAATATACTTTCTTCTCAGTAGCACAAAGATCCTTCTCTAAAATAGACCATATCTTAGGCCATGAAGCAACTCTTAGCAAATACAAAATATAGTGATAATACCTTGCATTCTATCAGATCATAATGGAATAAAATTAGAAATCAATAATAAAATAAAAAATAGATGCTACTCTAATACCTGGAGACTAAATAATATGCTACTGAATGACTAATGGATAGCAGAAGAAATCAGGGATGAAATAAAAAAATACTTAGAGGTAAATGAGAATAGTAGTATAACATATCCAAAACACTATGAAGGCACATCTTAAGAGGAAAATTTATTGCATTGAGCTCATTCATTAAAAAGATGGAAAGTCACCAAATAAATAACCATCTCCAAGCCCTAGAAAAAGAGCAGATCAACACCAAAAGCAGTAGAAGATGGAAGATTATTAAAATCAGAGCTGAAATCAATGAAATTGAAACAAAATATCCAGAAAATCAATGAAAAAAAGTTGGTTCTTTGAAAAAATAATTAAAATTGATAAACCCTTAGTCAAGCTAACAAAGAGAAGAAAAGAGAAAACTCAAATTACTAAAATATGTGATAAAAAAGGAAATATCACAGTGGACACTAATGAAAAACAGATGATAATCAGAAAGTATTTTGCAAATTTATATTCTAATAAATTAGAAAATAATGAAGATATTTCAGACCAATATTCCTGATGAACATAGATGCAAAATTTCTTAATAAAATACTGGCAAATTGATACAGAAACATATTAAACATATTAAAAAGATAGTACACCATGATCAAGTGAGGTTCATCCCAGGGACGTAAGGTTGGTTCACCATATGGAAATCAATAAACATATTTCATTAATCAATAAACTTAAAGACAAGTATCACGTGATTATCTCAATAGATGCAGAACTAGCATTTGTCAAAATACATCATCTATTCATGTTCAAAACACTAGAAAGACTAGGGATAGTAGGAATATACCTCAACTTTGTAAAAGCTATATATATGTTAAACCCAAGGCAATATCATTCTAAATGTAGAAAAGTTGAAAGTATTCTCTCCAAAAACTGGAACAAGACAAGGATGCCCTCTTTTACTGCTTCTATTCAACATAGTTCTTGAAACACTAGCCAGAGCAATCAGATGAAAGATTCAAGTAGACTCCATGATTAAAGCAATTCTAGAAATAAATAAGATCATTTCAAAATAATAAGTTCAGTTTAAATTTAAATTTGTATGCATTTTTAGCATAGCCTTCTAAACTTATGACCCCAAATTGATACAGTTACAAGTCTACAGTTAGAGTGAGATGTTTTTATCACCTCCAAGTAAGAGAAAAGGGACATAAAATACTTGAACAATATGACAACATATTTGACCTAACATTTAAAAAATATTATCTCCAATGTACATTCTTTTCAGGTATAAACGAAACATTTATTAAAGTTGATCAAATACTGTCTATAAAGCAAATGTCAACAGATTGAAAGAATTGAAATCACATGGACTAATTCTTTGCTCAAAACGTGTTTAAGCTTTAACCCAGTTACAAAAAGATAACCAGAAAATTCCTACATATTTTCAAATTAAGAAACATTTATAAATGACCTATAGGTTAAAGACAATTTCATAATGGAAAACTGAAACTACTGTGAGTTGAAATATAATAAAAGTGCCACATTTCAAAACTTGTGAGGTCACTAAATTGGTGCTAAATGGAAACAGGTTAGCCATGAACTGGGTGCATTGGAAAGATTAAAGGCTGAAATTATGGAACTAAACCTGTATTTCACAAAATTAGGAAAAGAACAGCAAAATAATCATGAATAAAGTTAAAGATATAATATTCAAAACAGTTAATTATTTGAAAAGACTAAAAAAGGGTAGTATATAATGTGTGGACATTGCTTTTATAATTTAACAATCAAAATAAAATGTAAATACAAATAAAGACCTATATGCCACCCTCTTATGTTTTTTACAAAAGTAAGACAATTATACAACCAAATTTGTAATAAAAAAATTGTGATTTATATCACAATTTTTTATTCATTCACTGATTATAATATTTAATTACATAGAAAATGCTTATTATTATGTAACAATAAGTGAAATAAAGCATGCAAAATGGTATATATGGTATGATCTTACCTTTTCTAAAATTTATAGGAGAAGCTTCTCAGAAATATGTCAAATGTAAACAGTTATAGATTTATATGGACTTATGCAGTATAGGCTAATGGATGACATTTATCTCTTTATATTTTTTTAAAATTTATACTTCCCCAAAATTTCTAAAATAATTGTTATACTTTTAAATTAAAAAGAAGGGATTTTTAAAGATATATCCCTCTTCTGTTCCCAATCTTTCAGTTCACAGTAAAGTGTTAGTATCACTTCATTCAGAGATATACCCTATGATGGATTGCAGCCCTCTGGAATTCAGCTTCCTATTTCATTACTTAACCACCTACTTAGGACCTTGCCTGATATGCTGACAGTTGGAGATTTTTAGTTTTTTGTTTTGCTTTTTCAAAACAAAAGTTTAATCAGTATTCCATTTCATTTTCTAGCTATGAGTAAAACTACTGAACTACATAAATGACATTATGAAGTATTTGTGTAATTTGTAAAGGGTAACTAACATGTTTTATAGAATATAAAGACTAAAAGTTTGTTCTACTACCTCCTTATTTGGATTGTTTTATGCTCTGATTATTTTTTTTGTGTGTGAGTGTGTGTGTTGTTTTTTATTAAGGTAAAGATTTTTTTTCATTTTAGAAATACTTAAGGCATTTTTTAATGGTTGTTAATTATAGAACAAAGAAAAATGTGTAGAATACGTTAATTTATAGAATGGATACCAAACTGAGTACAAATAAATAATAAACACAGATTCATAAAGCAGATGTTCAGAAAAGCATAGGGCTCCCCTCTAAAGTCAACAAAAAATAGATATTTTTTAAGTCTGATAAGCAGCTCTCAAAATCTCTTTATTATTTTTCTTTTTTAACAATAAAATAGCCACTTTATTTCTATTGATTTTAAAGCATAATAATTAGTCTTTTACTTTTGTTCTAATTAGTTATACATGACAGTATAATGCATTTTGATACATTGTACACAAATGTAGCACAACTTCTCATTGATGTGGCTGAATCACTATGATGATGTTAAGTCCTTTGGGTATAAACCAGTGAGTAGGATAACTGTGTCAAATGGTGGTTCCATTCCAAGTTTTCTGAGGTATCTCCATACTGCTTTTCATAGTGGTTGCACCAATTTGCCATCTCACCAGCAATTTATGAGTATACCTTTTTTCCCACATCCTTGCCAACATTTATTGTTGCTTATATTCTTGATGATTGCCATTCTGACTGGAGTGAGATGAAATCTTAGAGTAGTTTTGATTTGCGTTTCTCTTGTTCCTAGAGATGATGAACATTTTTTCATATGTTTGTTGATCGACTGTATTTCTTCTTCTGTGAAGTGTCTGTTCAGTTCCTTAGTCCATTTATTGATTGGGTTATTTGGCTTTTTTTGGTGTTAAGTTTTTGAGTTCTTCATATATTCTGGAGATTTGTGCTCTATCTAAAGTGCAAATGGTAAAATCTCTTTATTATTTTTCTACAGGAAAAAGCAATTCCGGTATCTACTAGAAACCAAAGGAAAAAAACCTGGCATTGTCAGTGAAGAAAATAATGATAACAAAAGACTTGTAGGAGAAAACACAAATCGTGCTACACTCAATTATACCACAAGAGAATTTTATCATGAAAAGCTAGAGGTAAAATACCATTAATCTTTGAAATCTGGTCCCTGGATATATTCTATGTGGCTTGAGGTTTGGATGTTGCGTGTTTCACCTTCCTTTACATACAAAGCTGAGGACAGTAGACACCAAGGAAATAGAAAGGAGTAGAGAGCTCTGAGATGAAGAAGAGTACGTGGTTCCATCATTTTTTTAGTAGAAAAGAATATTTAAAAGAAATTTATTCACAAAAATTTAGATCAGAATTGGACTAAGGATCCTCATCTATCTGAATTAAGAAAAGAAACATAGGCTTGTGTGGGCAGTTAACCAGCCTGTGCCAAACCAGGAGAGGACACAGCATAATCTCCATCTCTATTATCTTGTCTTAGGCTCTTAATGTTTTAATTTATATATTTCATTATACACCTTGAACTTCTGTGTTCTTAATTATGTAATTTAACCTGTTGTGTTCCCAGTAGAGATACTTAGCCAGGAAAACTGGAACCAGTCTTTTAGTTCTTTATGTGTTCAGAGGTGTATTGGGGTAATACAATATTATGGCACTACAAGAGCTACAAAGAAGAAAAAAGCCTACAAAGTTCCTGCCTTGATGAAGCTTACAGGAAAGCAGAAGAAACAGTCATCTAAATCACTGTAGAGTTTTAAGATTCTTCAACCAAATTTTTGTTTGTTTTTGTGGTACTGTAGGAGATTGAACTCAGGGCCTTGCATATGTTAAACAACTGCTCTACTACTAAGCTATATACCCTGCCTCTTTTATTTTATTTTGAGATGGAATCTCTCTAAGTTGTTGTGGCACAGTCCTGAAATACCAGAAATTTGGGGGACTGAGACAAAAGGACTGCAAGTTCAAGGCCAGCCAGAGAAACTTAGTATGACTCTGTGTCAAAACAGCTCAGTGGTAGAGTGCCCCTGAGTTTAATCCCCAATACCACAAAAAATAAAATATCTAAAGATATAGATGTATCACTGAACAGGTGGTGCATGCCTATAATCTCTGCAGCTTGTAAGGATGAGGTAGGAGGATCACAAGTTCAAAGCCAGCCTCCACAACTTAGCAAGGTGCTAAGCAACTATCTCAAAAATAAAATGGATCTAGTCTCAAAATAAAGAAACTGCGGATGTGGCTCAGTGGTTAAGCACTCCTGGGTCCAATCCCCACTACCCAAAAAACCCCCAAAAAGATAGATGTATTTCTATATCTCCTCACACAGGGTTTGTGTGTGTGTGTGTGTGTGTGTGTGTGTGTGTAAGGAAAGAGAGAGAGAGAGAGCACATGAGAGAGAGAAAGCATGCATGCTGTGTATCCTCATCAAATTTGAAAGTGGTTTTCAAATGTCTTTTAAACAATTATGAACTCTTTATTGATGCCATATTGTAACTGAAAACCCAGTATGTAAAAACTGTTGTTATAGAGGAAAAGTAGGGGACTCGGAACTTCATTTGATTAGATTTTCTATTCATTTCCCTTCACCCCTCTCCTAGTTCTGAAGTGTCTCTTTGGAATCTATGTTAGTCAGATTTTCTAAGAAAATCAACTTAAAAGGAGGAAAGATTTGTTTCAGCTTGGTTTCAGTCCATGGTGGCTTGGCTCTGTTGTTTCCAGCTTGTGGCCAGACAGAACATCATGGCAAAGAGTATATGGTAGAACAGAGCTGCTCACTGCATGGCTGCCAGGAAAAAGAGAGAGAGAGCGAAGGGGCTGGGGTCTCAGTATGCCCTTTAAGGGCATCCCCCCCCACCATGACTTAACTTCCTTCAGCTCCCTTCCCACCTCCTACAGTTTCCACTACCTCACAGTAGTGCTATCAGCTAGGACCAGGCCTTCAATAGATGAGGTTTCTAAGGGACATTTAAGATCAAACCTTAACAGAATCCTTTAAGAATTACAGCCTAAAAATCATTTGAAAACTCAATTCTGTAATATTTTTATAGCATCCTAGAAAATGTTCATATTCTCCTTTAAATTATTATAGTACAAGAAGGAGCTGGGGGTATAGCTCTGTGACAGAGCACTTGCCTAGCATGCTCAAGGTCCTGGGTTCCATCTCTAACACTACAAAAAGAAAAAAAGGGAAGGTCAGTGCTTAATGAGATAGTTGACTAAAACTGAATAACTCCAACTATTAATGATCCTAATACTACCTTATGTAGTAAATAGAACAAGTCTCTTCCATGTGGAAACCCTTCAAATACTTGAAGTCAACTACCTTATCTCATTTCAGCCTTCTTGACATTTGTACTTTTCACTCATTCAAAAAATCATCTCTGAGCACCTATCATAAACACTGTGTGATATACTAGGTTATAGAAAGATACTGTCTTTGCCCTCAGGGATCTCATATTCTAATGGAGGAGATAGATTTATATAGGGGTTATTATAAATCATTATTCTAAGAGAAGAGGAGAGATAACTAACCCAAATCAAGGAAAGCATTCTAAAGAAGATGTTCCCTAGTATTTAAAAAGGACAAAATAGAGCTATGTGATGATATATAGATACAAGGCAATTCTGGCAAATAAAATGATGTGAATAAAAGGCACAAAAGTATAAAAAAGAGACAAAGAGTGACAGAAATTACAAGGCAGTTAATTGTTGCAGTACAGAGGTTGAGAAAGACGTGTTAAAAGATGAAACTGGAATGTACTGGGAGAATCATGCTCAAAGAGAATGAACATAATTTGTTGGCCATTAGAGGCTTCTTGATATTGCTAGAAGAGGAAAAGACAACCTGGCAGGATTATGAGCCTTCTTCCTAAATACAGTTGGTTCTACGAATTAAATTATAAGTGTGTGTGTGTTATGTGTGTACATAATTTAAATGTACAAATTTTTATAATAGAGATTTTTTAAAATGTCAAAGAGCTGCATATAAAACAAGGACAATTCATAGAGAAACCTACCCAGTGTTTAAGGAACGGATAATTCCAGTGATTTTTAAGTAGTTTAAGAGTATTTAGGATTCTGGAAGATGACGGTGAAGGGAGAGCATCACCCCCGTGTACCGCGTCACTGTGCGGGAGAATGACGAGTTAGAACGGCTAAAAGCTATCTTGTTAGGAATTAGGAATTTCCAGCAAAATTGGGGTGCTCCAAAACCTAGAGGAAGGATTTCCATCGCACGAGGATCAGCTACGGGGGCTCAAACGCGAGCGATTTGTCCGCACGGAGGGTCACGCTGCTTATTCAGCAACTCGCCCTGCGGCTAGAGTCTGCGGCGTGCGCTGGGAAACGACGAGATAGCAACACAAAGATACAGCGCTGCGGATTCTGCGGGCTCCTGCCAGCTGTGCAGTCACTGTGCTCAGTGCTGAATTCTGGGTTTGAGATGGGGGAAGGAAGCGGTCCAACTTGGTTCTCCACACTGGTCAGACCACAGAGGAAGCCAGTGGCCACCATCTTGGAGAGCTGACGTCACCATCCCTGTTTTCGACTGATCGCAGCTCATTCAGCCATAGAACAGGTAATTTCAGGCTGCCATTCGCCTGCGGCTCGCAGACAAATTACTCAGGCTCAGTGCTAAAGAACCCGCAGAAACTGCTTCTTGGAGCCTGCTCCTATCAGAACATACACTGAGCCAAGAGTGGCCGAATTCCGGCTCCCGGAACTGCTCTGGCCCAGGGCTAAAGAACCCACGGAAACTGCTTCTCGGTCCGGGTCCTGCTGAATACTGTGGAGGTAAATACCAACCGAGCCTTCGTAGGCAGTGACAACAAGATTGAGACGGGGCTTGTGAGGGCTGGTCAGGACTCACCCGTTGCTTTGGTCACCCGGAAAAGGGAACAAAATGCTGCCATTCGCATGGGATACCAACATGGCAGAGATCTGATGTCATCAGAAAGCGGCGGAGGACATAACTTCATTGATACCAGCGGCGACAGAAACAGTTGGTATCCTGGTAAAGAAAGTGAGTCACAAATACCCGAGTCTCTCTCACTTTGTCATCAAGCCAGAGGGGCAGAGCAGAGCCACCGCCCGTGCCCGGAACAGGCCCAGCGACCTGCTGGCGTGGTAGTCACGACACCCCAATTGGAGTAGGGGCAGAGCAGAGCCACTGCCCGCACCTGGAACAGGTCCAGCGACCTGCCGGTGTGGTAGTCACGACACCCCAGTTGGAGTAGGGGCAGAGCAGAGCCACCACCCGCGCCCACAAGGTACGCAGACCTGCGACCGACCGGCAGAACAGGCTCAGCGGCCTGCCGGCGCGGCAGACACGTCACCCCATTTGGAGTAGGGGCAGAGCAGAGCCGCCGCCCGTGCCCGCAAGATAAGCAGACCTGTGACCGACCAGCGGGACAGGCCCAGCGGCCTGCCAGCATGGTAGACACGTCACCCCAATTGGAGTAGGGGCAGAGCAGAGCCACCGCCCACGCCCGGAACAGGCCCAGCAACCTGCCGGTGTGGTAGACACGTCACCCTAATTGGAGTAAGGGCAGAGCAGAGCCGCCGCCCGCGCCTGCAAGGTAGGGAGACCTGCGACCGACCGGCAGAACAGGCCCAGGGGTCCGCGGGCGTGGTAGACACGTCACACCAATTGGAGGAGGGGCAGAGCAGAGCCGCTGCCAATGCCTGCAAGATAGGCAGACCTGCAACCGACTGGCAGAACAGGCCCAGTGGCCCGTCAGCGTGGTAGACAGATCAGCCCAATTGGAGGAGGAGCACAGCCGCCGCCGCCCGCCCCTGCAAGGGAGACTTTTCACCTATACAAGAGCAATATAAATATATAGGGGGAAAATTTTGAAAACAAAACAGTTTCATCAAGCAGAAAGAAACGCGAGCAGTATGAAAAGACAAGGAAAGAAAGGACCACAAGTCGGGGCTGGGGTGTGGCTCAAGCAGTAGCACGCTAGCCTGACATGCATGCGGCCCGGGTTCGATCCTCAGCACCACATACAAACAAAGATGTTGTGTCTGCCGATAACTAAAAAAAAATAAAATATTAAAATTCTAAAAAAAAAAAAAAAGAAAAAGAAACGACCACAAGCAATGCAGGTGAACTCAACTTTAGAAG